CTAAATCAATCCCATTACACATCTTCAAAAGAAATGAATACTCCCCATACTATTTAGATGAGGAAACTGAGAAATTGTGCAGCTTCTCAGAATAAGGGAATGAGTGTTACAGAAATAGCAGCCAGATCTGGGTTTCCTGAGCTTCCAGATATGTTCTCCATTCATAGGACCTTTGCCCCAGGGGCAAAATGGTTTTACACATGCGGATGAATTTTGAGGCTAATCAGAAGAAGGCGAATGAGTATGGTACCCTGACTCATGTTGTCACAACAGAAGATGTATGCAGCCACTCTCAGAGTTCATCCAGCTAGGTATGTGTAAGGGAAAAGGATTCTTCCTTAGGTCTGTGTTTTCATACTTTCTGATTATTGTTTCTTTCCCAAATATATGCCTTTGAAATCAACAGTTTATGATTTCATGGTTTGTTTGTTTGTTTTTTTAAACTATTATTTATATATGTATAGTCTTACTTGCAATATCACTTTTATTTCTTTGGATATTTTGCATATTTCACATGAAGCAGTGAACAGACACAAACATGTCAGCCTTGAGGAATAGTCTTATGACCAAACCTGTGCACTTGTGACTTATGTCCAACCTTTATACTAAAGAAAACATATCCTGGCAACATGGGTGAAAACAAGACAGTTTAAATATCTCTAAGTAATCTGCTCATGAGACAGTATAGCACAATATGGTATATTAAAAACATTCCTTGTATATTAAAAAAAAAATTGATATGGTGCCATGGGGAAAATCATTAGTTAAATCGGAGAAGGTGGGGATTAGTAAGAGAATTAAGAAACTGGCAGCCCATGACAGTAAGTGTGACATGCCCTCTTTTACAATGCATCCCCCAGCATTTTGAAAAGCCATGTCACACCAAACCATACTAACAGGAAACAAGAAGAGACTGTGCTCCTATGGCTTGTTACAGTGCTCTGTTCTCCGTGCACTGAGAAGCAGAGTACTTGGAAGAATATCATTCCTGCCAACTGAAGAGACACAATACTTCAACAGCAGAGACTTACCAGATCAGCATGTCAGAGATACTGGTTGCTAATTTGAAGTTATCTATTATTTGCAGAGGATGAAGGAAAAGGCTATCTTGTGGATCTTGGTGATTCAGCGGGAGAATAGAGGAAAAAAAAGTCTGCCTGATGTTCTCACTGTGCTGATAGTTCTGCTTAATCTCCTTTTAACCACAAGGCAGATCCTTGATCTGCTTTTCTGCCAGCAGTATTTGCCCTGAACCCATAACCTGCTGTAAGTAGTACTGTGGAAACCTGAGGAGCTGGTTCCACAATTGTGCAAAACAGATATTGTCCGAAAGCTGGTGCAATTGCAGCATTAGTCTGCAGCTATACCCCACCTCCTTTCCCCTCAGAAATGCCAATGTAGTAGCACATAACCTACACAGCCATCTATATTGCAAAGAGAAACATGATCCTGTAGATTGCTGATAATTGCTTACTTTTGTTCAAAAATGCTAAGGGTACTAAGGACTGGATTAAGCAAAGGAAAAAAAAAAATTCTGTTTTAAGGAAACATTAGCATATTTTATGTATCTGTTCCTTTAGGATCAGCACAAAAGTTTTTGTTGTGAATGCAGTCCAAAAGGAGTAGAGCATCACTAGATCTGCCCTATCTCTCTCTCAGCAGTGACGTGCCTGGTGTTTCTTAGAAATTACACATCTAACAAAACTGAAGCCACACTGACTGCATGGACTGCATACCTTCCTGGATTTCTCATGTTGTTTGGGAAGGCTAAGAGCCTGCCTCTGTGTGTGGCAATCCATAAAATGGCCTCACTGAGTTTTCTCTAAGTAAGAGAAATTCATCAAAGCACATCTTAAATTACTTATTATGGCATCATCTTGGCTAAAATGAGAGCCCACATCAGGAAAGAAGCTGTAAGGGATGGGAAGGCGTGGGAACTGAAAGATGACACATGGTAAGATATGCCATGTGCCTAAAGAGAAACTATGCTATTTCACTTTACAAGATCTAGCCTGCTTGGTATACCATAACAAGCATCATGGAGAGCTTATTTAGGGTTCGTGCAAACCAACAGGAATTACAATAGAACAGCAGCTGACACAGTAATGTGACTAAGATGCACTGCAACTCTAGTTACCTCTGCAGACATATACAAATCCAATGGTTACTTGCAGATGATTTTAGCCTTGGTTTTTCAAAGACAACTAAAGAAGCTGGATACCCAAATGCTGCTTATTTTCAGTTAGATTAGGGGCCTTACTTCCTTAGATTCTTGACAGTTCCTAACTAGACTTGCTTGGTATCTGTATAGGAGCAGTAGGCTTCCTTTATCAGTCCTGCCTGCCAATTTACAATAGGCTCAGTTTTGGTCTTCTCTTTGCCATTTCAAAAATAAAGCTATATAAACACAAAGAAAACAAAAAAATAACTTACCCACTGGCAGTGAGCCATGCTAAAAAGCATCCAAAGCAATTTTGTTTTACTCTGTAATTGTTCTTTGCAAATTCATACTCTGACAGTAGATTTTAAGATCTCATATCCAAAGACCCATAATAAATGTCACCAACTCAACTTAAGAGCTAATGAAAACAAAGGTCGTGATTAGAAAAAGAATCATATAAGGGACAGAAAATAACACTTCCAGTTCCTTAACTGCTACCTTTCCATTACTGCTGTTCAAATTCATTAAGGTGCCGCGCTGTCTGCATTTTATACGTAAAGTAAAAAATGTTTCTTGTGACAAAAGAGAGACAAATGTTTTTTACATTTCTTATTTCAGGAGACGCTTGAAGACTCCTGTAATTATTCTAATGCTTTAGCTCATTTCTGACCTGGTATTTTATTTCAGCATAGGACTCCAGAGCAAGGGGACCCCAGCCGACTTTTACAGTACCTGTGGAGCAGGCTGATGCTGCCACCTTGGGGAGGACTCTTTCCACGTACTTTGAGGACCCTAAGCAAGTGTCACATAAATCAGTGTGATTTTTTCCCTGTCATATTCTCCGAGGAAGACAACTTCTTAAAATCCTCTGCCCGTGCTGTTGTAAGACCTTCCAGATGTGTCCCAATTCGGACTGTATTACATTTATAGTAATACTGGTAAGACATGCCCCTTTTTGTGGGGAAGTTTGCTTAGCCAAGTTTTATGTATCATTTAAGCAGTGCCTCATTTACACTACTCTTAATTTTACAGCCATCTTGCCAGCACAAAAGCCCTGTTCTACATCCGGCTGGGCAAGCTGTATTTTGCATACAACACTCCTCTGCTTCTGGGATTTTAATTTCTTGGTAGTCTAAATCCTCATCCATGCACAGCTTAAATTATCTCCTTGGCAGGCTACTGGCTCAGATGTGACTGCTAGGACATATACTGCCTCAGATGTCATGAGAGGCATTACTGTGCATAGGAACAGTCTGATGAAAAGTACAGAGCTAGACTGTGACAATTTAACCAAAGTCAAGACTTCTAGGAAAATTAAAGGAAGCAAGGAAGCATCTGGATCTTATCTTCTTATCCATAGTTTTATGAGACTGACCTATCCTTTTGCTTTGCAAGTGAGTCACCCCCCCTCCAGTTGTCTTTAAGTTTGTATCCACTGGCAAATGAAGGAACCTTGCTATACATTTTATATATAAATATGCCTTGAGAGACAAGGCTGTGCACAGCATTGAGCCGCAAGGCTTTTCACAGTGGAAACTATCAGTAGTTGCCTTGGTTACACATACAATACAGGAAAATATTTAATATCTCAGTTCTCACCAGAATAGGCAGGCTCAAGGGCAGGGAGCTGTCTGAAAGCAACTATCTTGTGTATGTGCTCTTAAAAACAAACAGCAACAAAATTATTACACAGCCATCTACAGCCAAGTAACACAAACGAACTCATTCATGATGATTGATGTGAATTTACACGAGGAGGCTGTGAAGGCACCATTAGCTTCTACCTTCTGCCAAAGCACTGGCTGTGCTTGTGGCACCACAGCAGAAGGCAACAGGCACTGAAGTCTCACTCCACTGCTGGGGCAGGCAGCAACAGCCCTGCTACTGTAGTAAACCAATACTTACAGGCTCCCACATAGAGCTACATTTTGGATGACAATGTCCCCAGCAGGACCGGGCTCTGGAAAGCACCCTCCTCTTTTCCTCCCACGGACAGCCTACGTACCAGATCCTTGTTCTCACTGTAATGACACATACCTTAATACCCCTGGAGTAAACACATGCCTTCACCCACCTGGGATTTAGTCAGAGAGGTGGCTTATCTAAACCTTTCCTTGTGAACAGACAAGCAGGGCTCAGTCTTTCGTTCTATTACTAGAACCTGGTCATTAAAGCACAAATTTGTATTTATTTTCCAGTAAGTCACAGGAGTTCAAATCAGCTACTTTCCCCACTTGTGGGAAATTGTCTAAAAAGCAAGTGATAGGTCCTTTCTGTCCAGAAAGGACAAACCTATCCCCGGTTTTAATGCTACTATAGCATGGGAAAGTGATGCTTGCAAGAGAAATGCACCAAACTATCGAGCCAGCAGCTAATGCACGACTGGCAGTGGTGCAAGCCTTCAGTTTTCTTCCTGATTCAGAAATAATTTCTGTATTTTAATCCATTTTTTATTATTTTAATCCATCTTTGTTAGGCAAACAGATTTACATTTGCATATGGTTTTCATTGTGATTTGAAAATACTGCAATTATTAATTCATTGCAATACTAAGCGAAAGTGCATATGCTCTTCGCACGCATATATGAACACACATTCAAGAACATACAACACAAAGTAATCCTAGTACCTCCATTATCACTCTCACATTTAACTGCTGGTAGAACTCAAGCAACTTTCAAAAATATCAACTTCACACAATCACTAAAGTGATTGTAAAAATGTATCTGCAAAAATTCAACAGGATTTGAGGATCTATAAGTAATAGATTAACCAGATTAATGTGTACGTAACAGTCTCAGCATGGTACGTTGCTGCTGTTAGTTTCAAAGTTCACATATGAACTTCTTTTTACACTGCACACGTTGTTTATGAATGAAGTCTGAATGAAAGAGGAATTTAAGGGAAAATAAGGTAAGTGACATAATACAAAATTAATCTAAGTATTTAAGTGTAGGCTGCTTACAGGAAAAAAAAGAACAAATCCTTGATCATGATTTAGAAAAGGAATGGACAAATGCATGCCCACCATGTCATATTACTATGCTACAGAAAAAAAAAATTGATCATTGAAAAACCTCTCTGTGAATTCAGTAAGGAAGATCATTGTGTACAGTATTCAATGTTGCCTGGAACAAAATAAGTATGTTAATAGCTCTTGAATGTTTGGCTTTGTACTGAAGTTATTTCAAAAGATTGATTTGGGCATGGATTTAATGAGAGGGAAAAAGCTTGAACAGCACATGCAAGAATCTAAATAAATTAATCACAGGAAAACCCATTCTAAAATTATCCACGATCTCTCTATGAGTACCTAAACACAGTATCTTAAAAAAAAAGAAAAAAAAAAAAAATCTTTCTGAAGTTCAGGTGTCACTGACAACTTAAAATCAACTACTTATTTGCCAATATGGTTTTCCATCTGAAACACCTCTGAATTTATTTAATCAGCCAGTATTCCTGTTAGATGATTAACCTGCACCAAAAACCCTTCAGATACTGGATTAAAGAAAAGTACAAAGAGAATGAGAGGGCTCATCTATGAACAATTACAGTAACTGGAAATGATACTCACCCATCTCCCCTCTCCATCCACCAGTCTATGCTTTTCTTTTCCACTAACTGTGCCATAAGTCTAAAAGTTTGTACAGTATACATTTCCAAAGTCTCAATTTCATATGGGGTTAGAACCTGCAGCATTGGCTATTTCAGCTCTTCTTTTTTTCATGAAGACATACTTCTTATATTTATCTGTATCAGAAAGCCCTTTCGGATTACTGTCTATTTCAACTTTAGTGGTAGCTGATGAAAGACATATTCTAAGCTGTTCACTGCTGTGAAAAAGTGCTTCTTTAAAAGCTACTTCTCCCTGACTATCCATTTTTTTCCCTAAAAACAAGTAAAGATTTACTTCCTGAAACATGGTCGCTTAATAACAGCGGCACGTATTTGTAACCATTATCTTCTTCCTCCCCTAGTTTTCCTCCTTTTCATAACCTACTCTCCCTGCATGCCAATGCTGTTTTCCACAGTTGTTTCCCAACTCCTCCCTTCCCTCCCTTCTCTGTTGCCTCCCCTTAGCTTTACCTGCTTTACTTGTTCCTAAAACTCTTCTCACATCTGATTCTTTCCCAGCTCTTCAGTTTCTGCCAGCGTAGGAGCACAGCCTGTTAGGTTGCTCTTTACTTGTGACACCTTCCATCTGGGCTTGCTATTTCTAAGCAGCAGACTGGGAAGGACAGCAAAGATCCATCCTTGGATCAGAGAGAGATATATGTGCTGTACTGAATGCCTATCTACACCACACACTCCTTAACAACATTTCAGGCAGGGAAGGACACTCAAAAGACATTGAATTTTGCAATTTTTGCTGGATTTTTTTTTTTTTTTTAAAGTCATCTGAAACAGCTCATGTTATTTCTTCTTCACTTAGTGACAGGTTTGTGGATAAAACCATAGACAATGGCAGACAGCAATGAGATGACCATCAACCTTGTTGTCCTTGGAAGAACTCAGACTGGCAAAAGCGCTGCTGGGAACAGCCTGCTGGGCAGCTCAGACTTTGTGAGTCACCAGTCCCCAAGCTCTGTGACTACATGCTGCAGCCTTGGACGCAGCTGCCGCATCTCGGGGATTATACGAAGAAATGGCTGTGAGCTAGCTCTCCGTGTTCGAGTACTTGACACTCCAAGCTACCCTCACAGTGGTCTGAGCAAAGAGCAGGTGAGAGACACAGTGAGTTCAGCCCTGGCTCACCACTTCGGGGAGGAAGGCCTGCATCTAGCTCTCTTGGTCCTGAGGGCTGACTTGCCTCTGTGTCCGGATGAAAGCGATCATGCAGTTCAGTTCATCCAGGTAACAAACAAATAAGTAAATAGAAGTCTCTGCCCTAACGGCAACTCTTTTGTCTTCAGGTGACAATAGCTATGGAAGAGTTGACTGCAAAAGTGAACTAGATAAGTGCAGCTGAAAACTGAAACACTTCCCAGTCCAGCAGTTGAAACATGGCATTCAGAACTCCAACACCATACACCATAGCTACACTTACCACACTAAACCTGAGAACAGAGAGGCAAGAACTGCTCTTTTGTACGTGGGCTTGGCACAAAGGAATTTAGGAACCAAATTTACCTATCAAAGTAAGCTTTTCTCTCAGAAATTAATGCTTTATCATGACAGATCTAGCTTGTTAAAGAGAAATGCTATTTAAAGCAAGTAAAAGTCAGGTTATCTCACCCTCCTGCACTCTGTATAGGACCAAAGCAGAGAGCGACGGGTCCAAAATCACACAGAAAATCTGACTGACCTGGGACAAGGATGCTTAGCTCTGTCTTGCACTGTCACTACTGCTGTATCTGTTCAAGAGAAAATACTAGAAAGCTACCATGAATTTACTCTGGCTAAGGAAAATTTCTAGCATAACTGACTTGAAGCAAGTATTTTAAACCTCCTGGGGGAAAAATGTTTTGGTTTTTGTTTGGTTTTTTTTTTTGCAAGTAGGTAAGGTATGTAGGGAGAGACACTGAAAAGGAATGGCTTTCTTTTCAGTTGGAAATTTCTCACTACCATGCATACATATCTTGGGGGGGGTGGGGGAAGGCCAGCAAACAGATATTGCTCAGTTTATCTATCTGATCAGATGAACCAGGTTTGTCTGATTTACAAACAAACAAAGGGTTTCAGTTATTGCCAAACTCTGCACATTACACTTTGCATCTGTCTTACACTAATGAACTTTCTAAAAATCTTTAGGACTGGAAGGGACTTCCTAGTCCATCAACTCTTACTACCTGCTGTAACTGATATTACTTAAACATATAATATGTATGTAGATAAAAATATACCAATATATAGATAGAAAAACAGCTTTCAAAATGTGTTTGATTTGTTCTCCTGTTCTTTCTGATTACTCTCTATTGGTAGGTTACTCCTCACTTTTCCAGTAGTTTGAGAGTTGGTTCTAATTTCAACACACTCTTACTCATTGTCATTTTACATATGTTTGTTTTCAGTGTTACCCTTTTTCCTTATACAGTTCTCTGTCTCTCCATACTTCATGGTATTTAAGAGAAAGCACTATTTACTCAAAATATTTTTACTCTAAGCCAATGAAAAATCATCATGCTTGTAGTTTGAGACGGTTTTGGATCAAGTCCGTGTGGGCTTTAAAAGCGTAAGAGATGCCACCATGCCTTTTCCCTTTAAATGGAGCTTTAAAACCCCTTCTGGAAAGGAAATAAAGCATGTTTAAAAATAATGAGAAAGCAACACTTACTTCTGTTTCATGATTACAACTGGCTCTCAGCTTATATAATAGCTGGCTTTTTAGTTATTTTCCCCTTAAAAGACCAGATGCTGTGATTTCATCAGCCACAAACAAATGGGGCAGGACAGCTGCGTGGGTGCTGGGAATACGAACAGTAATGGTTACATTTCAGTAAATCATTCCAAGAAGACATTAGTGTGAAGATTACCTTTAGCAATCAGGAGTTTTTACAATAATCCTCTGCAAATTAGGGATAGCATATCAATGAAAATGGCATATCAGTAGAAGACTACTGGCATTTAAATCTCTCTGGATTTTTTTATTTCAGTAACATAGCCTAATGAATTGAGAGTGGCAGATACTGATTTCAGAACTAACATGAGCATTGACTTTGAGTCCTCAGCAAATCAAGGCACTATCCTCTCTCTCCAAAACTGATAACCCAACACTTCCTCAGACAGCTTATGCCAAAATTTTGTACAGGTTTGAATTTTTTTCATCCCCAGTGTCTAAAACAAATCAATCGCTATCTTGGGTGTAGAAAGATATCCTTTAAAGCAGTTTTATACACCTTGGTATTTAGGTTACAGAGTAAAGATCATCGCAAAGTGGACTTTATTACCAAAGTAGGCTTCTTGTCACACACAGGAGTTAGCATGATTGCACTAGAGGTGTAATTTCGTTTACATCTGTAAATGAAAGCCCAATCTCTTATTCATATTATAATTTTCTGTACTCATTGACAAAAAAGCAACTTGTTTTCTCCATTTCCCTCCATCAGATGAACTACAGCAGTTAAAGACAAACTCTCTAGCCCATCACTTAGGTTGATGCATTTGATTTGTGTTTTCGCTGAATTGCTGAGAATAGTTCAGTTTTATGGGATACAGCTGGAATTGCAATTGGTGTCACATAGAAATTCATCATTTATTTTTTCAACACGAGGTGATTTGGTAATTTTTAAAAAAAAATTTCAGAGAGTTGTAAAAAGTGTAGAAATATGGATATGTAGAAACTACTGATGAAAACTACTTGTATTTTACTTTTTTTTCCTAATGTGTGACATAGCTAAACAACCATTTTTCCTTATTTACATAGACTTTTTTAACTGAAGAAATTCTATTAACATCTGTAGTAAGAGAACAGAGAACTGCTCTGTACTGCACGACCACATATTTCCACTGAAAGTGGATGTCAATGTCTTGGAAGGTGAAAACCCCCAGAAATTTCAGCAACTCAGATAGCATGAACTGGACTACTGCCAGGAAAAGAACATATAACCGGTCCGTTAATGCATAAGTATACGAGGTGGGAGTGGGGAAAAGGAACAAGAAAAGATAACTATTTAAGATTTGTTTTTCATTACAGGAACTTCTGGGTCCCACATGGAAGGATTTCACTGCAGTTCTACTTACTCATGCAGACAAAACAGAAGAGGCTGGATTCAGTGAGGAAGCATACTTGCACAGTGCCTCAAGTACCCTGTTGTCACTTTTGAGCTCAGTACAGCATAAATACATTTTCCTAGATAACCAGAAGAGCATAATTAAAGAGGAAAGAGCTATTGTCTTAAGAAAGCTCTTGAATTTTATAAGACAAAATAATTATCAAGTGCTTCTACTTAAACACAGCAAGGAATAAAATTAGCTTTCAGGTGCTCATTTGTCTATTTTCTATGGTAGGTAGCGTTTAATAGAAATAAAAAAGTAGAAGCCATCAACTGGAAAATTCCATATCCATTTGAGCACGCAACTGGAAATATCTCTTTAGATTACCAAACTTCTTGCCTTTCATAGAGTACTCACACTAATGCATCCAGAATCCTAGCTTCACCCACAAAATCAGAACAAGCTAGTGCTCTAAATCATGCTCTTAATATGTATGTAGTCACAAATGAGATTTTTACGCTACACCAGATTGTATATTGCAGTTCATACAGAACACAGATCTGGAAGAAAAAAAAAAAGTAAGAAATGCACATGAGTTTAGACTGTAAGGGAGCCTCTTTCCCAATTCTTCAAGCTTTCAGTAGTTCCTCTGAATTCCAAAGTTTGTAAAAAGCTTTCCAGTACTACAAGCTAAGATTTATCTACTGTAAAAGTATTTCTTTACCTTGATTCAGGATTAGTTAAATTGAGATTTTGAACTTCAAGAATTTTGTTTAGTAAGACATTATTGGATATGTAGTTTACAAGGCAGATAAAATAGCTCCCATGTGCTTAACGCTATTCCGCACATTTAAAAGAACTTATTACTATTACTTATTTCCAGATGCATGAAAAATTAACACAGTTTATAGGCACATACAAAACTCATTCAAAAAAGAAATCTGTTCATCTCTTTTGCACCTGTTCCTTTTAATTGTATATCATTGTCATTTTGTTTTCTCTCCCAGTTCACTGGATGAAGTTCAAAGCCTGCAAAATTCAGAGTGGCTAAGTTTTTTATTTCAGTGGTTAAAAAAGCACTTACTGTTTCAGTGGTTAGACAGTAACCAGTTAATTAAATATTATATGCGAAAATATCTGACATATCTTTAAATAGTTTCTTAAAAGGTTTATTGTAAATTGATCTAAAATAGTTATTTTCAAATTATTAAAGGGCAGGAATTAAAAGAAGTAATTTGAAGCTATTACTACAGCAACCATGACTACTTCTACTACATTATTATGGAATAATTCTAGCTGTAAAAACTGAAGAAACTATTTCTGTTAAATCCAAAGTGTCTTTTTGTATAAAATATCATTGCATAAAAATACATTAAAACAAAAAATCAATTCATTTTATACCTGTTTGGGCATTGGAAACGGGTATTTTTTTGGTAGTATTTGACTAGCACTGGCAATCTATTTGCTATTCATTCTTTCTTAGTACTATCTATCATTTGGAAGAAAATATCTAGATGGACTAGATAAAGAACCATTTTAGCAAAGTGACAGCTTTGATCTTATTGACATTTTAACAGCTTAACTGTGGGACATGAAAGTATGTCCATTTGTATATCTTAGAGCATAAAGGGCCATAGTTTAATCTTCCCATTACACTTGTCTGCAGACTACTGAGACAACATAGCCAAGAACAAAGTTGCAGAGGCTTATCATGTATCTGAAAACTGCTTGAAAGAAGAGGAGAAAAACTATTAAAAGGTGACTAGAAGAATGAAGACAATTGTGATCTTCACTGACCAACTGCTAGTCCTGCATCTCTTGAAGAGCAGTTAGCAAACAAGGAACATGGCAGAAATTTTTCCTTACTGAGATGCTCTTGCTCCACAGATCCTCTAAACCTTTTAACTGTCCAGAAAATACCCTTGCCTGCCTATAGTTCTACCATGAACAAGCCTTGGCAGTTAAGTCTTGAGCACTGAGTGGTTAATGACTGTTGACAACACTTAACCTCAAAGGACAAGTAAGCATGGTGAATGAGTGAACTGTGATAATGTTGGAGGCATAACGCATTCTGTACCTCTGGAAGAGGAGTCAAACAAAAAAGGTATTAGCCATGCATTTCAGAGGGGTAATATATTCATTTTTTTTATTGAGCTTGCATTACTTTCCATTTCAACATCTGAAAAAGCTTCTAATAACCATTTATTTATTTAATTCCACTGTTTGCCATGGTCTCTGCCCTGCAGACTCCTTTCCCTTTCACTTCAAATGGAACTCCTTTGTACGTAGCCACACACTGGTCATTGGTATGAAGATCAGGTTGGATTTGCTCCCAAATCTTCTTCTTGGGATTAAGTTCCTTCTCAGGATCTCCTATTTCAAAACAAAGAACAAGCTAATAGCAAACAATACAGAAGGCAAAGCAAGAGCTCTATGTATATACACATCTATGACAGCCCACATAACATTACTGCACAAGCTTTTAAGAGGAAGAAAACATTACCTGCGATTCTCAAAACGAAAACTTTTATCGGAACTAGGGATTGTCTAGGAAATGTCTCTAGAGCCTCTCTCAAAATGTTGATCTTTCAGGGGGAAAAAGCTTGTAAGTAACAGACCACAATCAAAAGGAAGAAATCAAACTAGTTTGCTAGTTGTTGGTTTACAAAATTTACTAGAGACCAAAAGGATTCCTAAGAATTAAGTAGATGCGGACCACAGAAACACACTACTCACCACTGCTCACATAGGTTTGGCAGCATCTTAAGTTTAGGAATTAATGAATTTTTATAAGCAATTAATATTAACTGAATTAGGCATGTGTCCTTACAGTTGAGAAATACTGAACTTACACTGACATATAATTTTAGCCCCAAGTTCCAATACTGTTCTGCTTTTTGTACTATTTAATGACAAGCTCTGGTGCCTAACATAACAGAAGCATTAGAGGTCAGCTTGTGTATTTTTCAGCAATTATGGCCTCAGTCTATACATCTCAGTTCCTTGTTTCTATGTGTACACCATGATAAGCTACCTACCCCCTAGAGATATTGACAGTCTAACTACATTAGCAAATCTGACTATTTAAGGATCTCTAATGACCACAAAATGCAGGTTTCTTTTACTAACATTTTGAAATACTGTTAACAAATTACATAGAATAGTGAAGTATTTCAGAGTCATATTTTTCCTATTTTTAAATAGGTATGAAATGCAAAGTATAGGAATAAAACAACTAAGCTAAATAAGCTCTCTTGCTATAAAGATTTATACTGAATAAACTGCTGCCTGCTGACATAATCTAGATAAAGCAAGACAACCAACTCACTGTACAATTATTTTCTGTTCAAAGCTCAAGTAAATTTAATCTCTTAATTCTAATACAATGCAGATTCTCTTAAAGAAAAAAGGAGATTTCATTTAAAATGTTATTTAATCATAATGCTGTCGGGTCTCTTGACCTCTTGTGTGTAACACAGGCAGGACAAATTAAAAACCACACAAGACTGGTTTTAAATATAATTAGAGCACATTTAAATGCTGAAAGGGATCCCATGCTATTTCATTGCTAATACACTATATATATTTTTACTTGCTTGGAATGCCATATCGGCACCATTCTGCCCAAACTATTCAAATCTTAAGTTCCATAACAAGCAATAATCAAAAAACAAATCCTAGTAAACAGATCCCCCTGAGATCCTTTCAGAGAAGCCAGGAGTTCCTAAAGGAAAATAAGGAGCTCTCCAAGTGAGCGGAATGTCAAGTACTCTCATCTTCCACTACTCAGCGTCCCCAAAGGTTCAGGAAGAAAAACTATTAAGGCTACAGGGATTTTAACGTACGTGTTTCTATTAGCTGGTTGAAATTCATTGCTGCTTGGCATATTCCCGACTGGCTGACCAACAGGCAGTTAAATCAACTACTCTCATTCCAGCTTGCCTTATTGTTTTTCTCCTTTAAATGTCTTCAGTGGTTCAACCTAACTCACATTCTCAATGCTTGCAAAAGTAAGTTACTTCTACCTGTAGACGGGTCTAACTTCTGTAGCCTCTATATCTGTAACTGTAAGAGAAGCAGATCAGGCCAGATTTCTCTGTTAAGCAGGCTAGCCTTGCCAGAGCAAGATTCAATAATGCAGTCGAGTTATTTCACAACCACACTGCACTTAATATTTAGAAGAAAAATCAGTAACACCATTAATAAATTAAGTATTTAGAGCTAATTGTGCATTTTCACAAAAATAAAAATCCTGCTCAATGCTCAAGTTCATAAACAAAGACGGACTTGGATTTAGACCAAAGCGAATGCATATGAACTAATAAAATCATTAAACAGAATGTTAAATGATCCATTGTGCATTTCCTTCCCCCTCCTCAAATATAAAAAGCAAGCGAATTTTTTCAGCAAGACTGACTTTTATTATAAAAAACACGCTTTGGATGTTAATAAGTTTCTTTGGAATCCTGCATCAAGCTCCCTTGGGATCTGTGGTGAGCTCATATTAGATTAGCACAGGCACCAATTTTAAACACTACCAGAGCTTTAGGCTGTGCATTTTCCTGTGACTTCTCCTCGTTGCATTCCTTCTTCCCAGAAAATATTCTTTAGAAGGGTTTCTATAAATAAAATAAATTTAAGGTTGTAATGGTTTAATGAGCTTCCCACTCTCTTTATGTAAAGAGAACAAAATAAGAGGTCCCAAATTTTGTTAAACGTGTCATTCGGTCTAGCAGTTTAAATATTACAAAAGAAATTCACATAATAATCAATAATAATACTGAGCTTTGTAACAGCTCAGTAACTATTGAAAGAATATATCTCAGTATAATAAGGGGCAAAAAGGTGCAGTGATGTGTGACTTTACAAAAAGTTAGTACCACTTAGCCCACTGTGGATTATAACTATGCAACTGAAGGAAAGCATCCATACACCAAAGCTTTGATTAAAGAAACCTGTTAAATACAGACTAAGCACTGCACTCCAGTTTTAGCACCTTTTTTTTTTTAAGAGATAGTTATTAACTAAATTCTTAGACCAGAATGATTATTTAATTATATGACTTAAGTAACACATTTGTGGTTCCTATGGCATTTTTGCATTGAAGAATTTTGTCAAAGCGTCAATTATACTGCTATTAGAAAAGAGATTTCAGTTATTGCTGTCTTATAGCAGTTACTGTGTAGGAGGGTATAGTATTTACAAACATGCGATGGAATGATTTTTCTATGGCTTAAGAATTGGACCTTTTCCACTGAAGGTGGATAGAAATTTGACAAAGCTCTTAATACAAAAAAGGCCCAACAGATCTTGAAGATTCATGT